GTATTTTTCAACAGCGTGATGTGAAATATGTTTTAGCATAATGCATAATAAATAAAACACTGCTCTTCCTGTTTTCTTTTCTTTTTCAAAACCATTACTTTTAGAGGCCTGTTTATGGCGGCAAATCACTGTCAAAATTCGAGAGCGCAAATCAAGTTGATGCGCGTGCGTAAATCAAACATCCGCGAGCAAATCTCCGTCTCGCGTGAGATATTTGCTCGCTCGCGAAACGTGAACTTCCTCGCTCGCGAGGTTAGTCTCTGTTCGCGCTCGAAGGTGTTTTCTACGCGCTCGCTGTTTTTCTTTTTGACAGTAAGGGGGCGGAGCCAGTCACCATGGTCTCTACATCTGATTGGTTACAAACCTCGTCTTTGGATTGGCTGGAGTGATGCATTCACACAACTATAGAAGCCCACTGAAGAAAGGGGATAGAAAGTCGAAATTATTAAATAAAACGTTGCCAAAAAACAAACGCCCCCCTTCGGTAATCGTAGTGGAGCGTAGATGACAACCAGCTACAACCATCATTTACCATCATTACCGTCATTACCATTACCATCATTAGAACTATGAAGGATCCTGCGCATATCTTGTATATCACATATCACATTCACTACAACCTCATTATTATTTTTTTTTCAAAAAGTCGATCCGTATTGAAAGTTGGCAAGATATTCAGATTCAGACTTTTTTTCCAGGTATTTTAAAAATACGGACCGGTCTGCGAGCTGGACGCATTGCTTTTAATGTGCCGGTAATGATGGTAAATGATGGTTGTAGCTGGTTGTCATCTACGGTCCACTACGATTACCGAAGGGGGGGCGTTTGTTTTTTGACAACGTTTTATCTTATAATTTCGACCTTCTATCCCCTTTCTTCAGTACGGAAATGGGCTTCTATAGTTGTGTGAATGCATCGCTCCAGCCAATCCAAAGACGCGGTTTGTAACCAATCAGATGTAGAGACCATGGTCACTGGCTCCGCCCCCTTACTGTCAAAAAGAAAAACAGCGAGCGTGTAGAAAACACCTTCGAGCGCGAGCAGAGACTAACCTCGCGAACGAGGAAGTTCACGTTTCGCGAGCGAGCAAATATCTCGCGCGAGATGAACTTTTGCTCGCGCGAGACGGAGATTTGCTTGCGGATGTTTGATTTACGCGCGCGCATCAACCTGATTTGAGCTCTCGACAGTTTTGCTTTTGACAGTGATTTGCCGCCACACCTGTTGTTCATCACCTGAAAATGTCTCCGCTCAAAAAGTGAGACCTCAGTTGACAGCCGGCCCGGCAGTGAGTCACTTTGGTAATTGGTTGGATTTCTGGGGCTCGTGCTGCTGGAAACGGATTCAGCGCCTCTGGCAGCCGTTTGCACGAGTCTTTCCCCGCTGAGACGTCCACACGTTAAGAAAGGTCGGATCTTCCCTCTTCCAGACACCGGATGAGGAAACAAGCCAGAGACAAATGGATTGAAGCCAGAGAGGCTTCTTTGACACGCTTCAACACAAAGTAAATCACAGCGGGGGGGTTTAACAAGCGCGTCGGACTGACACTTGTCACCACACACCTACTCGTGAGGAGGAGGCCCGATGGGGGTCTGACTTCTTTCTCAGTTGGACACGAACATATGATTGCATTTTTCAACCATCAGAATTGCCGCTCATGGCAACAGAAAGAGTTTGGCTCCCTGTTGGGTCCCCTCTGGTTAGATATAATTACTCCTCCATCAAGCTCCAAAAAGCAAAACAGTGATCTGTATCTCCTTATAGGAACGGTGGCCCAGTCTAAACACAGCCGCGGAATGTGTGTGTGTGTGTGTGTGTAGAAAAGAAGCAGATCTCAGTGTGTGTGACCGCCAGGTTCACACAGAAGTGAGTCTTTGTCTGTGTGTGTTTTCATGGGAAAAAAATTGTTTCTTATTTTTGTGTCGGTACACATCATCGGCTTTCACACACTCACTGTGTGTGTGCGTGTGCGTGTGCGTGTGCGTGTGCGTGTGCGTGTGTGTGTGTGTGTGTGTGTGTGTGTGTGTACGTGTCCATTTTCATGTTTGGCACTGAGCATGTTGGCAAACCTGAGTGTAGTTACACCAATTTTAAATACACTTACACACACACACACACACACACACACACACACACACACACACACACACACACCATTGTGAAGGAAGGAGATATTCGATGCACTTAAATCAAAAAGACAAAGAAAATATATAATCTGTGACTAATTATACTGAATCAAGTCCTTTTGCTGGCAGAGGAACGGAGGTTGCGTGGTGGAGCAGTGAGGAGAACTTAGGATGTTCTGGGCTTCCATCTCACCACAGAACAGAACATTCTGGAGAAACGTCCACCTCAGATAAGCGAACGCCAACTTTGGGATTGTTTCGCCACAGCGTCACTGAAGTGTGTGTTGCACTCTCAACGGGACCCGACCCGGCCTGCTCAGAGGCATGAGAACTGCTGCCCCCCCCCCCCCCTCTGCCCCCCCACTCCCCCACCCGTGTGGTAATCAGAGACCAGTGATGAAAGTTCCTGACAGAAAATAAATCAGCATTTGAAAAAGAATATTGTTGGAATTGGCGGTACAAAGGGTCAAACATTGAGGTGAGAGGGTGTCGAAACTCACAACTCTGGGCATCACCAAGTTTCAAATGAGAGATGCAGAAGTCGTGAGAAAGGTGCAATCAAAAAAAGAACGGCGCAGACCAGAAAAAAAAATACATATATGAGGGGGAGATTGTAAAAAAGCACTAAATTTGAAGTCTCGCCTCCCTTCGGAGACCCAGCTTCCAAAAGCGTAAGAGCTTTTTTTGAACAAATAGCTGAAATGCCTCAGAACCGAGGTTGTTTATCTTGGGATGGAGTGAAGGGGGGAGAGGGGGGAGGAGGGGAAACGGGGCCGAGAGACGGACACGAGGATTTGAGATTGTGCAAAGGGAATAGAAGGGAGGCAGACAAGAGATGGGACGCTTGGGAAAGCGGGCCTTAAAAAAAAGAGAAAGAAAACGATTTTTGGGAGTTCATCCAAAATAATATTTGCTTTAAAAAAAGTTTTAAAAAAAAATCAAGACAACGGGTTCAAACGGAGATTTAATGTCATAATAAATCCGAGGGAGTGTGAAGCCAAAACATATCAAACAGCATGGTACGGATACAAACTACTCACAAGACAGCACAGGACCACGTAGCAGCCAGGGGAGGGAAGGAGGTCGGCCTCCACACCCCGACCCACGGAAACCACTTCATTCTTGCAACGTGAAAAAGGGTTTTGCTGACATTAATGCAGATAACATATCAACTGTACGATAACGGCATTCAAGAGGCACGACTATCAAAGGACGGATATCACGTAATGAAAATCCACACCATTCACTCCGCAAACACCTCCATTGCCACGGCAACCTCAACGCTCGCCAGAAGAAATGAATCCGAACGTCACATTACAAGGTTAGATTGAGTCCTTCGTTGAACCAAAGCCAGGTACAGAACGGGAGGGAAACATCGCCTTCATCTCCTGGCAACCCGCACCTCCAAATCCAAAAAGAGGAGGAAAAAAGAAAAAAAAGGTTGTAATTTTAAATTTTGTGGCTTAAAGGTTTTTGGCCACTTGGATACAAAAAAAAACATTGTCAAAGTTTCGCCTTGAGAGGTTTGTTATTTCTATTATGTGAGCAAACATATCGTACGACGACACGTCCAGCAGACGCATTAGCATGCGATCCGACATGTGTCTCGGGCCCGCCGACTAATTTAAATCCAACACTCTCTCCGCTTTGGTCGCCACCGGCTCCCGAGGGAAGTAACAGACTCTTTACTACTTCAGAGCTCCGCGGGGTTCACCGGCTAAAGTCGTCAGGCACATTCTTTTATTTGGCTGAAAGCAGCTGGCTGCTGTTGGAAACGATGCAGGGGAGATGGGTGAGACTTTACCAGTAGGTGACCTTAAAGCGCACAGCTGTCATGGCAGTGTGACGTTGATCACTACCGATGCCTCTAACACAGCGCTTAATAAATGTATCCATTGTCAACAAATGTGGATACGGCAGCTTTAAAGAACACAAATTGTACATTCTATATTCCCTCTGAAAAGAAAAAATAAGAGTTTGTCAAAATATTTTGACTTCCCTACTATTTTTATTATCCTTTGGTGAATAATCTTTACTGCTCATCTGTTATTAGAATGCAGGCATGGAATGCACACACACACACACACACACACACACACACACACACACACACACACACACACACACACACACACACACACACACACACACACACTTATCCTCAGATGCCCTCTGGTATCGTATGTACAGATTAGAGATGTGTATTAAACAACGTCTTTGCCTAAAGGGCATCCAGCCTAACACAACTAATCAGCTGAAGCTCTAAAGGAAAACGATGATTCAATAATTACTACTGAAACATGAAGGAAAAAACAGTAGATCTTGATTTGCTTAAAACCGGTTTTCCAAACGCACGCAGGCGCCCTGGAACTGTGTCCCTTGTTTTTGTGCAATCAGTCATTATGAAAATCTTAATAACAGTGAGCAGTCCACATCATCCCCAAAACGACGTAGAAATCCAATCCTCGTGAGACATTGCGGAGGACTGAGGGAAAACCTACTGATTGAACACCATTGGATTCAAATGCTGCAAAGTGACCTGATTGGAGGGATTTCAGTACCTTATTGTTAGAGCCAATCAGGAAGAAGTATCCCGGATTCCTGCTTGAACTTCCAGAGAAATATTTTGGGGATTTATAAATATTCACACGTGAACCAATCGAGCAAAGTATTTTTTTTAAGGCGATTTAACAACAACTCAACAAGGAAGGGAGTTGTCTGCAACGGGGAACGATGGCGGCGCTCCAGCTGGTGGCTTATTGTGTTCCTTTCCGCCTCACTACGTGTGAGTGCGTGCGTGCGTGCGTGTGTGTGTGTGTGTGTGTGTGTGTGAGGAGCCATGTGGCTGCGGTGTCACGGGTGAACGTTGGCAGACTGACACCTCTGAGCTTCAATGACAGACCTGTGAGGGGCCTTCGAGGAGGACGCGAGGATGCTTCTGCTCCTGTTGATAAGACACGGCTTCCTGTTGGACGGGTCAGCGGTGGACACGTGACACGTGTACTTTAAGGGACTCGCACCGCTGACAGACGACCTCTGGGTTTCCCGTGTGGTCGCGCACAAAGCAGTTGATTTCGTTAAAGGTTAAAGCCGAGATTAAATTTTACTTTACACAAAAAGCACGGGCCTCGGGTCTGGAGAGCGCGGAAATGAATTCACCCCTCTGAGGTAAGCGCCACGGTGAGGCCTCACCTTTTTGGCTCCAATGGAATTCATGAATGAATCATGAACGGAGACTCACGAGGGAAGCAAACTGTATTCAAACAGCGGTTACTTTGCCGTTTTGACTCAATAGACTCAACTCTGGTTTCCTTCAGTTGAATCGTCGCAAACATGAGCCAAAGGACGTCATTTTCTTTGCCAGGATTTCATGGGATATCAGTTCTCAAACAGCTACACATGCAAACCAGCACCTGGATCTTAACTTTTTTTGTTACAGGTTTTAAAACACTATACATATTTGTAGAGGCCTGGTTTGCCTCTACAGATTTGTTTAGGTTGGTTGTTTCGACAGCAAAGCTTTCAAAGCTCTAAGCGAAGGTTGGACGCGTTGAATTTAAGTTTAGCTTTAGTCGGATTTAACATGTGTGTTAGTTATTAGACATTAATGGAGGCCCCAGGGGGACCAGGAAGTGTCCACGTGTTGCAGCGCCACCTAGTTGGGCTGCAAAAAAAAAAGGCATTTTTACTTTCAGCTCCAAAACCGCGTTGACAAGCCCCGCTGTGGGGGGACATCTCATGTCCAAACGTGTGCGGTGTGGGAGTTTTCCCCGCGCGGTTCCGCGACGGTTTCATTGGTGTTGTTGACCCAAGAGCCCGCCCCCCCTTTTCCTCAGCCTCCGCGCCGCGCCGCTCAGCACAACGAGCGCACCAGCGGGACAGTCCGGCGGCTCCGCTCGGACCTCAGGAGGCTCGAACACGGTCCCGATGGAAAGATAATTAAAGTCTACTTGTTCCTCGCGTCGCAGTTTCCTCGGGGTGAGTTTATGTTTCAACTGCCCGCGTAATTACTCCACAATGTTCTAATTTAGGTATCGAGTGTTTCTGCGTTGTTTATAATATTCATTTAGATACTTTGAGTGAGTCTAAAAAATGTACTTTTATGCGTAAAACATTTATCCCAGTGTTTTTTTTATTCATTTTGATATTTGTATTGCATCCTGTTATGAATGTTGTTTTAAGAAAATAACAGAGAACAGGCTATGAATCAATCAACTGTTTAATTATTAGTGATGTTGCTTGTTTTGTATACTAAATATATTGATTAATTAAAAGGTGCACAGGGAAAAAAAAGCCCCTTAGCTTCAGATAAGAAGATACCAAAAATAAGAATGGTAAAGCTGTTCAGACCTAATGGTCACACTTTAAGTTGTTCTTAGTGTTGCCCGAGTCTCTGATGTCTGACTTGAAACTCAATCCGCTCCCTTCAGGCTGTTTATATTCAGCAGCAGCGTATTCTTGGTGACGATAAACTCGGCCCCTGCTGGGATTTTTCGTGGCTCTGCCTTGTAATTGCAGCAGTTTCTCGACGCAGCCTTATCGCTTTTTCGATACATGTCGCTAAAGTGACCCGGAGGAGCTCTGCTTGGGTGGAACGTCACGGGGGAAGTTAAAGCTGGCGCCCTTATAGGTGTTTTAATGACGGAGACAAACAGGCTGGTCAGTGTAGGACTCATTACAAGTTGGGGGCGGTGACCTCATGACCCCTACAACCTGCCAGCAGGCCAACTGGAACACACACACACACACACACACATTGATTAATGAGCGTGTTGACCTGCAGAAGCTAGTCAATAAACACAAACAGTGGTGATCAATAAAAAAAAGCCAGTCAGCTTCAGCGACAATAACACAAAATCCAATACGTGCGTCGATGAACTCAGTTACTGCGCCTCAACGTGCTGTGTGACTTCTCAATCTACAGCGGAGTGTGTGATTCCCCCGTTAGCCTCCCTTGGTTTCATGCTTTGATATTTTCCAAGTCGGCCTCCTGTAAGCGCTCAGCCAGCAGATGATTAACACATGCCAGTAATATGCTTCGTGCCCCCCCCCCCCCCCCTCATATGATTCACTCTAATCACACAGTGCTTCATGGGGTAAATGAGTGCAGGCATTCCTCGGGCTTTTCCTGGCCATTCCTTTTTACCTGAGTCCAACATTCCTGTGAGGGGGGGCCTTTTGTGACCTTTGGGTGTCGTTGACGCAGCCGACCATAAAGGTGCAGAGGTGAGAACTCTGAGTCCAGCTGCTGTATTTGTTTTCACACCACGTGCTTTCTTGTTTGGTTTATTGCCACACACAAGTATGATGTTGAGAATAACTGCTCCATCACGGTCGCCCGTGATCAAAACTGTTGACAATTCACTCATTCACCTTGTCCGGTGTGCGACGTGTTTAAATTGTCACTTCAGATACTTTAGAATATAAATGTTAGTTTAAACCAACCGGACGTTTTTGACCAAGCAAACAGGAATAGACGCTCACGTCTGGCTGCGGTCCAAAACTTGACTAAATGTGACTAAACCTTTCTGGTGCTGATTCATGTGGACGGTTATAAGGTTTCGCCAGCTGTCTGGTCTCTGAAACTATTCAACGTGAAACTTTAGCGCTTTCCAACGCTTCATGTTTAGTGATAATTGCTTGCGAAAATGGAAACGTATTAACTTGAACTCAACATGGTGTGAATGGTTCAGTTGCAGAGCACAACATATGCTGGATTTCTGCAGCCAACATCAACATGTCGGCTTCTTTCCGTCACTTGCTTGCTTTCTCGCCAAAGGGTTCTAGCTGTGTACTTCACGGTAAAAACTTCCTGTACAGACCTGTAATACCATACGAAGGAGGAGGGGGGGGGTCCCATATGTGAACAGAAACAAGGGAATAAGAAAGAGTTCATGTATGAGTGCAGAAGACATATAAACTGAAAGAGAGAGGCAACAAAGGGGACAAAGGGGACAAATTGGGGCGTCCAGGTCCGGCAGATGAAGGAAGCAGGGAGCCTCGGAGAGGGTGGATATTTGTTGGAGCATGGAACTGTTTTCTTGGCTGAGGAGGGAAGTGTAGCCGTGTTTTGATTGGATTCAGGCTGAGCATGGACCCGGAAAATAGAAACGTAATTGAAAGTCAAAGAGTGAGCCCAAATATGTGGCCTTATCTTGTATGTTTGTTCACCTGGTTAGCGGGGTTAGGGAGTGAAGGACATGAGAAGAGAGGCAGAGGGAAGGGAGGGGAAAGAGCCGCCGTGAAACACAAAGTCCGTCGCGGAGAACCGTAGCAGAGTAAACACTTCTGAGTTAAAGTCATCAAAGACCGGATAAATGAGGTCGTGTGTGTGTTCCCAACAGCTGGTTGAGGACAGGACAGGAGGAGAACACAAGGAAAACAGGACGGAAGGAAAGAGAGGAACGCATTCAGAATGAGAGACAAGTGAAGGGAAGGAAGAGAAGAGACGGCAAAGAAGAAATGGTAAAGAGAGAAGAAGGGAGAAGGAAAAGGGGAGAAAGAGAGAGCAGGGAAAGAGCGAGAGAGCGAGAACGACACAAACGTGGTTTCAATCTGCGCCGAGGTCGAGAAGAAGGATGTTTAATGGTCGTGATCAAGAGAGAGAACGATGCTCAACGCAGGAGTGTGTTTGTGCACACAGACACACACACACACACACACACACACACACACACGGCTCCCATTAGACTGTGGCTACTCTGGTTTACATCCAGCAAAGCCACCTCAAGCAAATGCTTTACGTAGTGACATGGAAATATTTTATTGCGCCCTGTCTGGGACGTATGAAAGCACCCAGATCCCCTGAGCGCTGAGTCGCCCAACGAAAGCAAGAAGGACAGAACGGACCTGAAGCAACAGTTAAATAGACTGCGAGTGGTTGAATGGACTCGCTCCCCCGAAACTCACTTTGTATTTGCGTTTTATCTCTTGACAGGGGCCGGGACCAGTGGACCAGGCTACCAGCCAACCAGGGGCAAGACAGACGCCCGACTCGGCAGTAACGGGGGAGATGGAGGATTAGGAGATAATCCGGGGTACGTCCAAGTGCCTTCATTTGAAAGGTCTCCTAATCTTCTCCGATATCCTTCGCGCAGCCAGTCAGGCTGCTACTAGGATTACAGCATTAGACGTATTACCCTTTAAAGACTCAAAATTGGGTGTATTTCATGTGGCGCTTTGTACGGGGCCTGAGCGTTCTGGCCGCTACGGTTTGTGTGACTGTACCAGAGGGGCAAGTGCCAAGAAAGATCACAGAGAGGAGGGACGGAAGCAAATGCAGAGTCCAGATACGTACGAGGAGCTGGAGCAGGCGACCTCCCTCTGAGCTGCGGTCAAAGGTCTTCAACAGGATTACAGGCAAAGACAAAACACCAGAGTAATTAATGGTTTGTATTCCTGTAATACCGCCGGTTATCAATTAGAGTGAGGTTTCCCTCGTCCAACCTTGATTGACAAGACAAACTCCTTCCCTTATTGCAAAAGGAGCCGCTGTGTCTGTGACCGCCGTCGCCCGGGGAGTCGTAATCAGCGGTGGGCCCGTTGCTTCGGCGCGGTTCATGTGAGCGTGCACACGGGCCCTGTGCGCTCACGCCATCTTAGATTAAACATCACGCCTCGGTATACTGGTCCCCCGGCGTTCCCTTTGCGAGCGGTGACATGGCTCTCCGCTCGGCGCTGGTATGTGGCGCGCTTCCTCCCTCCGCGCTCCCAGATGCCCCTCTTAAAACGCCAGCCGGGGGGAAGTGGAGCGGAGGGACTGTGGTCAGGGGCAAATTAGTAGGGCTGCCTTGGACCTGACGCAATCCCCATCTCTTGAACCATAGCAGGCCATTAATGATGCCAGACGGGGGCTGTGCGTGCGTGGGAGGCCTGCCGACATTTAGCCGCTGCAGTGGAAAGCTTTACAGAGAACCAGAGGTCCATGTCGGGCCTACTTCGTGCTATCAAAATATTTTACAATTGGATATCCATTACTCTAGCGGTAAAGAGCACATGACAAAAGGCCTTTGTTACTGACTAACGGCGGCATGGAGCTCCAAAAAAAAAAAGGAAAAAGGAAGTAAAAGGCTGCTGCTCAAGCAAAAAAATATAGCTAAATGCATCAATTAATGATGCTATTAGTCAAATGGAAATACGAATAAAGGCTTTAACATGCGAGGAGGCTGCAAATAATGTTAATGGAAGATAATGTAGTAGAAATATGGGGTCCAACAATTCTACTTGACGTTAGCTAGTCTACCTCTAGTCTACTTAGCATTTCCTTAGCTGCTTTAGCGACTGTTACAAGTAGCTGCAGATGTATTGCTGCAGATGTTGGAGGTATGCGGCTGATTAGGCAGCCGTTCGGGTCAGCTGGGTCTCTGCCTGGTGCTCAGCGTACATTGGTTTTGGTTGAGCTGGCCGGCCCCACATTTCTCTAAGTGCTCCACTGATTATAAATGCAGAAAATGCCAAAGAACTTAATGTAAGGGAGTAGATAAATGACCAAAAATGGATTTATTTCATTAACATACATAGGCGAGGGAGGTACTAGTCCTTTTTTCCCACTCAATTTAAATTTTTGTGTAATCAATGACTAAAGTCCATTTTTGTGTCCGATAATCTTTTACTGCCTTTCAACGGTTCCGCGGCTCAATGCACTTGGAAATCTAATCGGCCGCCGTTGAGAAGCAGCAGGGAATTTGTTATCAGGATTTACTTTTATTATCTCTCCCTTTGTCGCTAAGCATATTTTGCCCGTTCGCAAACAAACCTAAGCCTGTTGAATCATGGCTGCTGTTTTTCTTTAAAAGCGTGATAAGTCTTTTCAATTAAATGTCAAATGAACTTTGTGTAACCTTCACGCCAGACGAAGCGGGAGACGATGGATGCAGGAATCCCTGAAAGTCCACCCATTTTATGGACAAGATGACTGACTGTGGTCTAAGTTTAGATGGTTCCAGACCAGCAGAACATTGGAATCCTAAAAAAACCCCGCGGACAGACGGATCTAGTTCACGCACGGCGTTGAGAATAGGAAAGCCCCGTCGTCTCTCACTGAATAATCTGCAAATGTCATCCCTCAAAAATCAAGCACATCCCTTTCTACTTCTTTAAAGATAGATGTTTTTCCCCCCTGTTTTTACTCTCGATAGATGGTTCCGTGGTGCGGCCGCAGAACCGTTTGCAGCTGAACTCAGGCCTATTTCTGAGCTGGTGTCGACGGAGCCAAAGCCCAGGGCGAGCGGGGGGAAACTAGGCCGCCTGACCGCACTCCAACGGGTTCGGCTTCTTCCAGCAACACAGCGGCGCAGTGTCCTCCTAAATCCATGGCTGTTTAAATCAGACAGATATGCCAAACAACGAGGTACAAAGAGGGCGACAGAGGCCGCGTATATGATAAGTAGAGATAATATTCCAGTGAACGGTTTGCCACCTGGAGTTGAACTTTTCAAAAGTTTTTTTTCAATAAATATTGAGACATTCACCTCTTGCGAACATGAATCTCCAGGAAAAGTTGTCCAGCCTAAAAGGACTGGTCACACACTCCCACGGCAAGCGCCGCTTCAAAGGCGACCTCACGCTGGACATGATAAGCCCGCCTCTGGGGGACTTCCGCCACACCATGCACGTGGGCCGCGGCGGCGATGTGTTCGGGGACACCTCGTTCCTCAGCAACCACGGCGGCCCCGCCAACGGGAACAACGGGGAAACGGATTCTATCTCCTCCCCGGACAACAAGATCGGGGCGTTCTTTTCCAGGACCCTCCGTCACATCAGGAGGGGCTCCGACAACCGGCCCACGGGAGGATCCAAGGATTTGTCACCGCCACCTCCCGTCGTTTCTCCCATCATCAAAAACGCCATCTCCCTCCCCAGGCTGGACGTGGATGTGCCTAATGGGAGTCCCACCGCCAAGGTCCTCTTCCCCAGTTCTCAAAGCACGCCGGAGGAGATGAAAAGCTCTTATGGTGGGTTTGTTTTAAATGTGTGTGTGTGAAAGGGATCGGTCGTGGTGACGAACCCCACTGTACGCTGCCTACTCACATGAGCAAAAACAGGAAATGAAAAAGTACCTTGTTGTTTCACAAGACGTTTCCTTTAAATGGCACAGTTGCTGGATAAAGACAAACACAAAGGCCCATTGAGTTAACCAGGGTTTACTGGGAACCAGCTGGAGAGCCACATTTACACTCATCCATCGCTTTTACCCAGTAATCTGGACAGATTTGCCCCAGATGTCTTTATGAATCACCTCGGCTCAGTCAGCAACTCCTGCACTGATCACCACTGGAGACGCAGACAGGGCCAGAAACAGGCTGAGAGGCTCAACTAAACACCACACTCATCGCTGATAGACCCCCCCTGTGTGCGTGTGTGTGTGTGTGTGTGCGTGTGTGTGGTGTTAATGTGAAGGTAAACCTTTGGGTACAGTGGCAATTTTGATCTGAAATCCTGCAGTTAAAATGAAATAACTCACGTTTGTAGTGTTCGCTTGGGATACTTCAGTCTGAATGATGCAGTACGAGAGGTGCTGTGCTTAAGTGACCTGGCAGGAATTTGGGCAGATGATTCACTGTTCACTCGGAACTACTCAGCACTTTGCTGGCTTGTCATCATTAGACAGGACGTTCTCCTCTGGCTGTACACTGCCCCCTGTTGGACCTCCATGATAAACCATGTGACTACACACTCTAATCTAAAATATATTTAGTGTTCATCACAATACATAAACTAGATAACATTATATATATATATATGTATGTGTGTCTGTGTGTGTGTCTTCCCCTCAGGTCTGGAGTCCGGTTTCGTCACTTTGCCTCGTCTCTCCCGCTCCGAGCGTCAGCAGCCTTCCATCTCCCTCCCCACCTCCTGCTCCCCGAACATCCACCGCGGCTCTCTGACCGACCCTACCGACGCCATCTTATCTACCTGCCCTACAACCGTAATGCCCTTTGACCCCAAACTCACCTCCACGGCCTACTCTGACTCCCTTCCCTCCCTCATGTCCCTGGACACCTTCACCTTTGACCTCGGCCCCTCCCTCATGAGCGAGGTGTTCGGCCTGATCGACGGCCACCCGGAGGAGAGCGGCCACGCCTGGGAGGGAGAGGAGGCGGGGTCGGCGTTCGGGTTGACCACCGAGGGGTCGGAGATGGACTCGGCCACCATCTCGTACGTGGATTCCCTGCAGAGGGAGGACTGCGGAGGCAGGAAGAGCCCTCACGGGCCCGAATGGGAGGAAGAGGAGGTGAACGGAGTCGGGCTTTCTGATAAAGTGCCGGAGGTGGCCTCCTTGGGGTCTCCTGATAGAGGGAGGTTGGGGTTAGGGATGGAGAGCGAGCGATTTCAGAGTGCTGCAGATGTGCTCGCGCGCCACTATGGCGTCGGCCACTCAAAGGGACGGAGCAGGATGGAGGTCACAGATTCGGAGGCGATGACCATCAGCGAGCCCAGGAACAAAATACCCTACAGTTACATGGACGACGAGGATGAAATCAAAGTCTGAGTGGAGATATTTTTATACTACAAAACATCTCTTGACGTGTGTAGTATTTTCTCTGCAAATCCAATCAAGTCAATCAAGTAAGATCTCACTGTGGTCAACAAGGCTGGCTCTTTTGACAGGACGACCATGAAAACTACCATCCGGTGTGATTTGCATTGGATTGTTTAATTAATACAATCACGCTTCGAGGAGATGCAGTTTGGACGCAGGGAATGAAAGACTCAATGTTTCCCACTTCCCAGCCCTGCACAGACCGGGAGAATGCTTTTGAAAAGGTCCAAACTTAAAAAGGACTGAAACAAACGAGGAGGCACGGAAAGTGAGGATGTGCCAAAGAACGTAGATGTACAGATCGTCACAAAGGGACAAGGGACACAATGTGGAAGTTACAAAGCCTGTCACTCAATTTATACTTTTCTTGCTTCCTCACTTAGGAGGGGAAAAGATTGTCAGCTACCAATGAGGAAGGAAGTGAGGAGCAGTAACATAGATGAAATCCTGTTATAACATTTAGGCCTCCTTACAATCTCCTGTTAACTCCTTTCACTCAGGAATACACTACAAGGAAACAAAAAGGGAAGGGAAACCAAAGATACGGAATCTCAGGCCGCATTACCACCAAACATCTCCGTTAATAAACTACATATGACAAGTAATATTGGTATTGGCACAGTAGCAACCAAAGCTTAACCCTTTAATTGTTGATTGTATCCCGCAGACCTTCTATTTAGAGACTCCGTGCACCTTTTATGATTAAGAAGTCTGAATCCTGTATTTTGTTTTTGCAAAATTGTCATTTATATGTTCTTTTATACATCTGTAGCTAAAGATATTTACTGACCTCCTATAAATATGTACTTACAATATGAGCACATGCAGTACGTAGTGCAATTCACATCCATCCATACGCCGCAGTCAGTACCAAATATATGTTATGATGACATGAATTGACAATAAAGATCTTTTTAATTAGGTTGAAGATGCATTTATGTACAGAGATTGTCCAGCTTTAAGATTCTTAGTCAGTTTAAAATGTATGTTTCATCCCACACCCCCCATGTAGTCCTGAAAGCTGGCTGTTAAACAGATGTTATTTACATTAAATCAATGACATTGTTATTGCATACTTCTGGAAAATTCTACCCTAAAAACAGCAATTGGAAGGCGGTTTTGGACGGCTGGATTAATTTACGTACGAAAGCGTACTTGCTTTCCGAAAATGCCTCAGCACTAAAAGGACGTACCTGAAGAATAAACAAATTAAGCTAGTTATAGAAACATTGATAGTCCAAGCAATGCCGAAGCGTAAAACTGACCCTCAGGGCCGCGAGGGGGGAAACACCGTTAGCTCGGTGAGCACTTTCGCCAGTGTTTGCATTGTTAGCGCTGTTAGCGCCCTTAGCTATGAGCAGCAGGCTCAGCTGTCGCCATGTTGAGAGGCACCTGCATCCCTCTCAATCCCGTATGAAGTATCTATAAGCAGAAATACGTAATAATATATTTAACAACACAGACTGACAATGTAGAAAAACTAACATGTTTAAATAATAACTTAATAGCGGGACTGAGAAGCAGTGTTTTGCTGCCCTCTGTGGTGTTGAAACGAGATCTCGAGAAAAACGAGATGAAAAAGAGGAACCACGGGAGGTCTGCAAAGACAAGACTTTCAGATACGTTAAGTTGCTCTTTAAAGAAAGTAGAAAATCCACATCGTCATATTTCTCACTGTGCTAAAGAAGGAGAAGCGGTCACTTGTGACGGCGGCGGAAGTGGTGGAGGGCATTTAGGGGGTCTGACGCCGGGCCTCTTGGGAGCCGGGGGCTTTTTAATGCTGGCCGAGTGAGCTCGGGGTGCGGGTGTCGGCTGGGTCGGCGGGTCCGTCGCGGCCGCGGGGACGGGCGGAGGGCTCTGCAGCTTTGGAAGCACCGGGGGTTTAGAGAACTGAACTGTCAACTGCTCGTGCGCTTGGTTCGCTTTGGTCAGCGTGAAGGTTCTTCTAGCTGCCGGGTGAGAAGAAGAAAAAAGACAATGAGATTCATTCTTTGTGAAATACTATTCCATTATGTTATTGAGAAAATGAAAGCTTCATGATTCAGCACATTTAACTCACCTCAAAAGCAAATAATAATGTCAGTCTCTTGGAATGCTAATTTTGGATTTTTAGTTTTAGTGCTGATGAAGGCGGTTAAAACATTTGTCTGACTCGCTGCTGCTTAAAACTAATCTTCAGAGAAAAAAAAAAGACGCTTGTCAGGATGCAAATACTCAAAGTAGAAGGGAAAGTATTTCTTCCTCTATCTTGAGAGTGAAGCGGTTACAACAATGTGAGAGATGACGCATTTCCCTGTAGGTTTTCTGTTTTGGTCAGTGGTAGGAGACTTCCTGCTTCCTGTGTACTTCCTGGTTGTTACAACAAGACCAGTAGATTTATTTTCTGTCTGTCAGTTCGACGAGACGCCACTTGACATTGAAAGAGCGGAAACGGGGCAGAGGTGGAAAATCTGCCTCGGACATTACTCAAGAGAAATCACAGATAAAGTATGCAATGTGCTGATGCCCTGTAGCCCTAAACACAAAGGTGAATGAAGAAGGCTGTTTCTGTGATAAAATGTGTTTTATGCCACTTAGAGGAGGAGCAGCAGTGAGCCTGTGAACCTGCGTGGTGAACGAGATAGACTTGAAACACATGGGCATTTACCGGGCAACAAAGGACACAATTCCAATTGCACTAAGGAAGTGAACAACCTGGCGTTTCTCTTAACTTGGCCGGCAATAGCAACCAGTCGTGATATGTCAGCTTCTGCCAGTCCTTTACCAACGTGTCTCTTGTAAGACCCCCAACGGAACAAAAGCGCCACGCTAAAATCCAAGAGTGCCAAGCTCCCGTCTGGGAGCATCTGGGGTTCGGACAGCCATCAGACACACATGAACTCACGCTTAAATGGGGAGGTGGCCGTCACGAAAGCTTTTGGGGAGTCCGGCGGAGCCTCCAAAATCGGCTTGAGTTGGCTTTGATCCGAGCTCTGCTTCAGGGAGGGAATCCTGATTGGACTCGGGTTTGGCGCCGATCCCGTCGCCTTGGGGAGCGCCGGCGGGCCGCAGGCGGCTGGAGTGGCGGAGGCCACAGCGGGGCCGGGATTGAGCGATGGTGCGCTGCTGGACGTTGAGCACGGATGCGCCGGCGGCGCTGAGTCAGCAACAGGGTGGGCCCATGTTGAGGTACCGCGAATCCCAGAGCCAGACCTCCCCAGGAGGGAGCCAACGCTGTCCTGAGAGGCTGTGCTGATGGAAGGAAATAGACAAAGATACTGGGACGAGCTGCAACTATAAGACAATAATTGTGACAAAGTGCAATTTTTCGTCACCGCGATGACGTGACGACGCACAGCGGATGCATTTTATGATCTCTGTCTTCACAGAGCTGTACCTGTTTGTCTTTGAGAGAAGGGTGTGAATGGAGGAGCCGGAGGAGGCCGTGGAGGAGGAAGAGGACATTCGCCTCAATTTATCCTTTTCTGAGATCTGGGACTGAGCGCAGGGGGGCGGCACGGACGCGTCCGGGACATCGGGAGGTTCTGGGATCTCAAAGGATACAGCTAACCGAAACAAGGATAAGTCACATGTATGAGTGATCTATTAAAACGACTGCATTTCTTTTAACGGTTAGGTTATCACTTGCAATCTTTCACATTGGTAACAACGTTGTTGTACTTTATTGCTGAGATCTGACTTCACCAGCAAAAGGACCACGTGGGCAGGAGACCGGTTTTAAACAAACCCCAAATGTCAGCAAAAAGTATCATAGCAATTAAACAGACTGGCTCCCCGGTTTAACTTTGACTGAACGTCTTTGCAGTAGTGGTGTAATGTTGAAGCGTACCTTCGGGGAAGAGGCTGGAGCTGTGCTGAATGAGAGGCTCGATGACCGTCACCACTTGGACTGAGGAAGCTGACGCCATGTCAAACAGGGCAGCTTCCCTGCAAAGACAAAGACAAAGCACGTGTGGGACAGGCGAGGGCTGCGACAGCAGGAAATGGTGACTTGAACGTTGCTTCATGGTTAGATAAAGACACCGCATTCGTCACACTACCTTTTTCGCCAACACCTTTGACCCGAGCGACCCAATGAGGCAAACACTCTGCCAATTTAGATTTAACCGCTGAGAGCATTTCGTCAACCAAACGTGTACTTCCTACAATTTGTGAACAAAAAAAAAGAAACTTCCCTATACATTAAGAGTCCCTCAACCATCGCTCACGTTTCTACTAACAGGATGCTGCGGTTCAGTTCCACCAATGCTCATCGCTCCAAAATATTAAGACACAAATGTGACGAAAGAGGAAGAGTGGACGTGGCGGGGGGGATTAAGAGTATATGTAATACTACGTGAAGACAGAGGGGGCGGTACGCACCCTTCAGCTCGTGGCCAGAGCAGGTTGGGTCCCAGGACGATGGCAATGTTGCTGGGTGTCATTCTGTTGACAGCCTGCTGCTCAGACAGCAGAGACAAGAACTGGACCAGATACCTTACAGGGAGGAAGAGGAAACGATCACCAGACCGAGGTAATCATGCAGGAGTATCACGCCCGTAAGTAGAAGGGAACCATAGTTCAGGACACCTGATGACATTTGATGAAGCGATTCTGGGTGAAAGGAAACGTCGGCCAACACACCTGAGGTTGTTGTAGTTTTCTGGCGGCAGCTTCTTCAGTAGTACTCTGAACTGCTCCAGCTTCTCCGTCGGGTCTTTCTCCCTGCGCAGAAAGACACCTCAACAAAAATGTCTTTAGAGTGGGGAAACATAGAGACGAATGACGTAGCTGTTATACACACCCCGCGGCATTAAACCAGTCCTCGTAGAGTTCAAAGGTCATCAGCGGTTCAGGAAGTTCTCGCAGGTAACACTTCAAAGCTCCTGTCACAACACAATCAGGAACCCATTTGGGTGTTAGATGTAATATATATATTAATATAATATATATATATGTTAGATGTAATATATATATGCATTGTATGTATATACTGTACATGTATGTATATAGTTCCATGAATAGGAAAATATATCTTTGACATTTACTGTTTTCCCTCAGCATCCAGCTCTTCTGAACATACATACAATTGCTCTAAAGATTCTCTAGCACACAGGAAATGGGGCACTAAAGTTTACTGGAAGCTGCACGCAGCCGCTCTTGGATTGGTCCAAAACACAGAAGAGGAAGTGGGCGGTTGGGTGGGTTCAAAGACGAGGAAGAGCGCCAACAACAGAAACTCCACTGAGAGGAAATCTAGACAAAGACAAAGCGGACACATCGCCACCTGCAACAGCGTGGGGGTCCATGCTGAACTCGCTGTAGTCGACCACGTCGTGATCCAAGCAGTTCTTCAGCCTCTTCACCACTGAGGCGGCCGCCGCCATACGGAAAAGACCCTGAACGACGAGGAGAAAGAGCAACGAAGGATGGGGAAAAAGAATGGGATCAGCAGGGGACTTGCTGCATGAAAAACGTACACATAATAATTAGCATGAGCCTCTGCACATCCTGGGTATTAGATTTGTGTGTCGATGAATGATTAACTATTATAACAACTGTTTGTGTGTGTGTGTGTGTGTGTGTGTGTGTGTGTGTGTGTGTGTGTGTGTGCATACATGCTGCACAAAATAACTGATGCAATACCCTCTTCTTCTTCTTTTTTCTGTATTTTTAAAGTACCACAAAGATGACTTCCGTCAACTGACTGAAATGTCTATGGATCTGATAGCCATGACATTTTGCACAGACATTTCCGGCGTCCATTTGAAATGTGTGCAATATTTAAGTATGTCACTAAATCCCTGCAAGGCCAGTGTGACTTGAATCAGCCTCAGCTGTATCTGCAGTGCTAATTATCTCATGAAGAACATGTTACACCCTGAACTGAGATGCTGATCCTGTTCCTGTGTACGTACATATAAAAAGGTTAAGCACCATAAACTTGCTGGTTTCCGCTGCCAGTTACCCAACGTGCACGGGCTCTCATCTTTGTGAGGAGTGAAAGTAAAAAGCTAAAGTTATCGTCAGTCCCACCTCCTCGATCATGCCCGTCGTCAGCAGCATGTAAACACACTCCTGGATGGGTGCAGCGATTTCTCTGTTGCTTCGAGTCAGATGCGAGAGCAGCGGCTCCCCGTAGACCTTCTGACCAGAGAGGCTTGGCGGTGGGCCTGCGGGTTAAATACGCGCAGGGAATCAGAACGGAGACGCCCCAGTGAAGCCGACAGGTGCAGAGAGACTCCTCACCGCTGTGACGGTTGTTCTCTTTGAGCTCGCTGATGTTTTTGTTCAGGAACTCGTGCGAACGTTTGTGATATTCTTCTTGCAGCTCGAGAAGCTGCGGATGGAGAGACGAGAGCGGTTCGTGCTGTGTGTGCGCATTTGGTTTGATTGCTTTCTTTTAGAAGAAAAAGAGAAAAAGAACAAGGCTCACGCGGATGAAGTAGTTAGCGTAGTCGTCTTCTTTAGTTGCAAAGTGATACAGATCTGCAGAGTACTGGTCCTGCGGAGGCATAGAGGTCAGAGGTCAGGGCTACCTTACCGGGGGATACAGTTTGCTGCAGGCCGGCTGGTTGTAAGAGAAAACATTGGTACCTTGATGCTCTCCAACCTTCTCCGGGCTTCCTCCACCTCCTCCTTGAGGCCGTCCTGCTTTGCCTGGGGACCAGTGCTAGCTTCACTCCTGACCACACACACACACACACACACACACACGAGTACGATGGTTTAGCTACGTTGTTGATGGATGAACTGTGTCCCGCTGACTGTTTAACTAACCTGCTTCTTGCAGTGTTCCAATCCGTAGTGAGCTTTGTGAACTGCTTCTTGTTCCTGAGGATACCTGGTAAATCCTCCTACAATGAAACACCAAGTCAATGGGGGGAAAAACTCAATTTGAATTAGTCCAATATTTTGAAAAACTATACGTTGCCATTTCATTTCCATTCAGCTACAGCTAGTTTCCCATGCAGCTCTTCAGGACCAGAGATGACCAATAACACATGGACTCAGGTGGCATCTAGATGAACCCACACTGAGGAGGAACAAATCCTCCCTGCGTGTACGTTCTGATACAGATGTGGTGCAGCTCTCGTTACACCTGCATCTACACACAGGCCTGTTTGCGTGAGGTTTCCCGTCGGCCATTCTCACCTCGCTGAGCTTGTTGAGTGGCTCCAGAACTTCCTTCTCCACCTTCATCTCAAAGTCCGCCAGCATGCTGGCCAGCATCTTCTCCATGAAACAGCACATCTCCAACACCCTCCTGCCACACACACACACACACACACACACACACACACACACACACACACACACACACACACACACACACACACACACACACACACACACAAAGCTCAACTGCTGTCTCATCATTTAGATGTCTTTTTACAAATCACATTACATTAGGATCAATAGCCACTGGTTGAAATAAAAAAAAAGTCCCAAGCGGTCGGCATTGTGTGAGATCCTCTTTCTTCACCCAGAAGTGAAAACTAAAGTCCTGTGGGTTTCACGTGACAGTGGTTGAGGTTCTCCGCAGGAAGGGGATCGCAGTCACCTGATTGACGACTGTGCGTCAAAGTCTTTGAGGCTCTCCGCCATGCTGATGGACAGAAGCATCAGAGGCAGCTTTTTCTGTGGAGACACGAGCAGACGAGACGCCGCTCAGTGACCAGGCAGAGGGGCTGTTGTCTTGTGAACGCGAGGGTTTGCGGTACCATTCTTTTCTCGGCGTCCAGGCCCGCATGACTGTGCATGCAGCCCTGCAGCTTCTTGTGAAGGACCTGAGCCGCCTTCTTGGCCGGTTCCACCCGTTGCTCCACCTTAAGTAAGAGACACACACGCGCACACGCAGGATGAGCGGTTAACCTGCGCGTTCAATGGGATGTTTTTGTGCGGTGATGTGGTGCTTAGCGGCAGTTATCGCAAATCTGATTTCCTATAACAAATCTAGAATTGTTTTTTTTCTCACCACAACAAGGTCCTCGTGTAGAAGTTCAGTGGCATCTTGTGACCTGCAGAAGTACACGTTGACTTGGTTTGTGAACATATAATACACAATAACAATATCCTTTTTATCGCCGAAAAAAACCTGCATCTCCTGTGATGTTGAACATCTGTTCACGTTCCGTCAGAACAGTTCATTCATCCATCAGAAACGCCAGACCATCCGCTGCTTCTGCTCCCTTTCATGTTGTTTGTGAATGAAATACCTTTTATTTGTGGACTGTTGTTGAAATGAATACGGTCTGCAACTGATGACGGCACCCTATTCAAAGTCAATGGGGACCTGCACCCCGTAAACACACTTCGTGAAGTCTAACGATGTAAAATAAACGTGTTATGGTTGCATTTTTAACGAGAAATCAATGTTAACTTGTAAGAATCGAATACTAACCCTAACCCCCTCAAAAAATCCAACATGGCGGAGAGACGTTCACTCAAGAATCCGACATGGTCCGCCATGTTGTTCACTCGAGGGGCGTGGTTAACCACCGCCAGTTCCTATGTGTTGTTTACGAATTTGTATGTTCAAGATTTTCGTATATATTTTTACGAACAGGTTTTGGAGATCACGCTGGTCAGAGATACACCGGACTCAACCTGCCAGTTTGCATTTCAAGTACTTTGCTCCGAGCTCGCTATGCACTTTGGACGTGTTTAGGCCTCGGCGACGAGGCAACGCGGGTCCAGCATCCTGCACCCTGGAGCGCGAGGGAAGCCGCTGCGACACACGGGGGGGTTCGGGACACGAACAGAGAGCCCTGAGCCAAAGTCCTCTGCAGTCCCTGAGAACATTGAGCTCGGGTCGCAAAGAGGTCAAGATGAGAGGAGCACCTCCACGCCTACTTCGGCCAGTCAACACCGGGCGTTTCAAAAAGGCAAGACCGGAGAATTCCCCACGGTGTTTGAGCAGCGCGGCAGTTCCTTTTTTTTTCCATCATTTTGTTTTTTCTTTAGAATGAATCGAACATTTGAGTGGACATGTTGCTTTAAAAGAATTTAAAAGCGTGTGGAGGCCAAATGACATGTAATGTAATGTAGTGAGGCATGCGTGTGCTGATCAGTAATTACTCCCTGACCGCGCCAATGCATCAGAATAAACTCAAAGCTCTTCTTTAAACTTAGATATGGACGTGCAATATAAATATACTATGAGTGGGTGCACATCGTGTAAACATGTCAGGCGGGCTCCTGTGGTGAGTGAAGCCACGCTGCACTGCTGCAGATGCACGCTATGTAGGTTTATTAATAAGTGCGTCAGAGGCAGCAAGAAAGAAACACACACACACACGCACACGCACACGCACACGCACACACACACACACAAGCTCTCAGAACAATCAGAATAAATCAGAATAATGAAACACCGTGTTGATTAAATTTCCATTACAAATGTGTTTGTTGTATTTCAGTTTCTTGTTCCTCATTCAGAGACGTGGGTGTCAACTCGCAAACGGCTGCTTGTTATCGCGCCTGAGGTCTCCCCTCAAGCGGCCTGCTTCGCTCACATTGCTCTCAACTTTTCACTCTCTGTTCAGCTGCAAAAACTTCAGGCGAATTCAACGCTTCCTCAAAGACGAACGCGGAGCTCCGCCGCGGGCGTACGGCAGCCGGCGACGCACAGCAGCTCCGTCAGGCTTTGTGAAAGACCACAAAGGGAAATAAGCACGGCCTTTCAAAGTGGTTGTTTTTCAACTGATATGACCATCATCGCTGGATGAACACCCGCAACCGGAGATCGTGGAAATGATAATGAAACTATAACTAACAGTTAATCAGGAAACAAAGCGTAACCCTCGAGAACGTTCTGATTCTTTGTTATTTTTTAATGTAAAACCTTGGGTGTGATGACATCAGTCACCATGAACTACCAGTGTTGCTCACTGACTGAAGTATTGCATTCGTAAAAAGATGCACTTGCTTCTTCTTTTAATAGTCAGTCGCTATTAGCGGGACTTACTTTGTCGCAGAGCTGAACTGCTTCAGGATGCTCAGGGACTGTCGCAGCATCCTGCCTGTGGAGTCCGACCCGCTTCCTTGGGGGCCCCCAGATGAGATTCCTCTGCTAGCCGAAGACGCGCGGCCCCCGTTACTTCATGCGAGGCGGGGAGACGGGACGCGCCGCTTGTCTCTGTGCTGCTGCAGTGAGTTTCCCTCTCTAGTCACAGGAGGAGGAAGTTGCACAGATGAGGTGTGATCTGCGTGGGGGTTTGACTGCCACAGTACGGTTTAAGGGCTGACTGATATAGACCCGCCACTGCCTCGTGCTCACAGCGGGTGTGTGGCTTCATGGCCGTGTAGTTTCACAGGAGAGAAAATACTCTGTCGGAGCCGCACACGTTATATGTAACATTTCTGGATTTGAATGAGATTTGTCCGGCAGCAGACGGCGGTCAGTGCATACTTCTGTAAATGAGAGTGCTAAAGAATTAAAAAAGGATGTGGAAAGAGGAAACTGTCAAGGCCGCTCTGAGCAATTTCTCTTTTTTTCAGCAAGCATAGAAAATATTTGTATGTAAATGGGCCTCAAACGGAGATTTCTATTTGAACTAAGGCATTTTTCTGTGGTTTCACTCTTATTACTGCGCAGTAGGCTTTCATTCCATCACTACATTTCCCTGTACATATTACATGTACGAGTAGGGGACTAACCATCAATAAACAGCATTTATATACAATATACACCTCCTTGTTAGTAACAGATCCAGGGTGTGAGTGGAGGAGCTTACCTGAACACCAGAATCACTGCTCCACCGGTGTGCGTGAGGGGAAATCATGGTCTCGCCTCTTTACAGGTGGGCAGATGGCCCAGAGGTGCACAGACAGATGTTCAGGTGGGGGCTGCGGGTTCATCCGGGTGCTTGTCAAATGCTGCATTCTAGGTGGCAACAACTAAACGCACCCACTCATTTTGGGTTTGTACCTACGGTTTGTTTTGGCCCCGTTAGTGTCCAATAATGGAAAACAAACGGGGAATCCACTTTCTCATTAGGTGAGAGGAAAGTGGAACTGCGAGAGCCGTCCAATTGGGATTTATTTGGGGTTTCCTAATATGTAAAGTTAGGAACATTTGCTAGTTCTTTTGTTTGCGTTGCAGCATTAGCCGTCATGCAGGTTCATTTTAATGGAACGCGAATGGGTTTTCGGATGCGACAACGTTCTGTGTTTTCAATCTGCATCCTTCACTTTCAGTCCTGAAACAATGTGTGAAAGACTTTTCAGGGACAGAATACAGCCGCTGCAGGAGAGTAACTGAAAAAACAGTCATGTAACTATTAATGAATTTATTTTTAAAAATGACTTCAAATACATGATGGAAAGCTTGGGGAATTTTTTTTTCTGCTGTGGCAACAATTCTCACATTTTGGAGTTTTACAACGATGTGTTCTTTAAACCCTTTGCACGTTATAGGGAACACTTTTCCTGATCCGGGCGTTTCCAAATCCTCCACACACTGAATTACCACTTTATCACGCACACCTGTGCAGTTTAAACATTACTAAAGGAACATGTCATTTTAGTTTTGCCGTCTGTGGTCACTTTGGAAACTTACTAACGGCGTAAAAGGATTTGATTAGATTCTAAGTGTGCCTAATTAACTAACCCACTGCAGGTTCTTTGAAGGACTTTAATCACAGGAGTAAGACAGTAAACTGGTCTTGTGTAAACTTTGTAAAGGCAACAAAAGACACAATCCCTCCTGTAGAACCACAGAGGACCCCATCAGAAAGAAGGCAGGCCAGTTACTGAGGCGGCTTGGAACAAACACTTTCCCAACACTGATATTCAACAACTTAAAAACGCTTATTAAAGGCAATTCAAGTAATATTCCGAGTGCTCCGAGCAAAGGATTACAAAACACATTCTGAAACACTTTTGAACTGACAGCAATAAGATGATTCAAGTGGGCAAAGTGTAAATTTGGAGAAAGAAAACAAAAAATCCATGATAATGCAAAAGAAACTCATGTCATAGACATGTTGTGACAGGAGGAAAGCTTATTTTTCCAACTATACATTTGTAGATTTTAAAAAGGGGATCAAAAAAATATATATATGGCAAAATCGAAACCAATGTGTGATGAAAGAGTCATGTTTTGATGCTGGGGGGGCGGAGGGGATTATACCAATGTCTTGTGCAACATATCCACAAATACTAAATTACATCATATCATTTGTACACATCAGTTTATCCTCTGAATAGTTTTATTTTTCTTCATCGTCACCGATTTGACTTTTTACAAAATCTGGTGCGATGGAAGGAAAAGCAAAGCACCCACAGGCATCCCCATGCACGCTCACTGTGAAAGCCGACCAGTCCTTAAGTAAACCTTTATTTTGGTAACTGTGTACAAATGTTTGAATCTATGGAAAGAAATAACTTCAGCAGCTTCAGAATTAAAACCCCGGCGAGGGGAAGGGTGGGGGGGGTGGGGTGGGGGAAGCAAAGAGGCAGTGAAGCACTTGGAAAACCTGCGACCGTCTCCTCTTGAGGAAGAAAACTAGAGGCATCCCAAATGTTGCAGTCCTCTTCGACTCGCTTTCATTCACCCGTTTATCCCCGTCCACGCTGTTATGGAAGAACCACGGCCCTCCGGTTTGAAATGACAGACAGGAGTTCAGGATCACCCCTGATGTGATGCCACTCGCTTTGGTCCCCCCTTACCCCCCCTGCTCCCTGTTGTCCTGCTCCAGATCTCCTTCCTTCTCTCTCCATCCATCCCTCTGAGACCGAAGTGCATGTCCAAGCTTTCAGGTGAAGGACTAACGTTTTGCTTTGGAGTCATCGGCATCTTTATCGGAGAAAAGCAACAGAGAATAGTGTTCAAGCCCAAAAGGCACGAGGAGAGCATGTGTGGAACAACCCATAAAGGGGAACATCTTGCATGATGCCAAGAAGAGTAAAAGAGTGACGAATATATAGATAAACATTCATCTATTGCAGATGCATATGCTGCCATAAGCAGAAGTGGCCACAATGCAGATGAATCACTTTAATATTGTTCCAGTATCATGCACCAATGAGGACCTGTCATCTCGGCCAGCTACGTTCATGTCAAGCTGTAATTTCATGAGAAAAATAAGCTCACGCCTCATATTGACGTTCCCACCCCTTTCCCCAAACTTAAACACGGCTTCATTTTCTATTAGCATTGGAGCAGCATGATTACAATTGGTGTCAGCAATATTAAGGGAAGAGAAAAAAAAATGTCCCCAAAATTTGATATTCTACTAATAAAATAAATGTTAAAAATGTCCAACTTCAGTGGAAGGAAAATTGTCTACAAATAGCCTAGTGAAGTATTCTTTCTGCCCCTGGTTATATTGTAAAGAAACCAAGAGCAATGCTCTATAAGAAAACACCCCCACCGGAAAAAACAAAGGGCGCCAAATATGCAACCACAGAGAAAATGGAACACCAGCTTTCAGAATGTCAAAGGGCTCATTTAGCACGCTAGCGCCAGAATATTATTGGTTCAAACTACGTGATCAAATGTTTCTGCCCCGCTTAGCGTGCGTCTGTTTAGGGAGCGTTTGTTGTGTTCATCCTCAGAAAAAAGATTGAGATTAAGGCTAGTACATTTATCCACCAGTGGACACGTTCGCTGTTAGTGACATAATGTCAGCTGGTTTACATATGTTTGTTATCCAAGGCCTTCACGAGAATAGTGAAGCTTTCTGATGTCAACATTCTACAATAACAGGCTTCACACCGCCGACATGTTTTGGCTTCAGTTAAAGATGTATAGTTGCCAAAAACGGACATTTGCTACACATGTGATGTTAGTCATATTGAGTGAGAGGATTTAACAGTCCCAGTAGCTCACATCTAAATGCCTTTATTGACTTTAGCCTACTTAAAAAAGTCCCCTTGTTGAGTTGAGCGTTTTTTAAGGACTTTTGGAATAAATGAGGGTGTGTTTCTATGCAACATACTGATTAAAAGCAAAAATGTTCCCCATGTAGTTCACAAAGTCCTAACATATGCATGTCAATCTTCGTGTTCACTCACCTTTCCTGAGTTCATCCCTCTTCTTGGCGGCATCCTCTCTCTGTTTCTTAATAATAGCCAGTCTGGCCAGGTCGGCCCTGGCCTGCTCAGTCTTCCCCTCCAGGTGGAGCTTCATGTAGCGTTCCTTTGATTTCTGCTTCTCGATCTCCTCTCTGATGGAGATAACAGGAGGGGCGTACACATGAGCAAAACAACACTTTTTGAACGTTCACAGGCTAAACGAAATACAATAGACACCAACCGCCACCTACCGTTCCCTGCGAGACAGCTCTCTGGGAGCACTGACGTCTACCTCAGCCACCTTTTTGCTCTTCTGAGACACGCGGTTGGGATTCTCGATCTCGATGAGCCCCTCCACGCCACTTCTTTTCCTGGACTGTGTGCAGGGGACAGGAAAAGAAACTGTCAAAGCTTGTAAAATGCAGCAGAAGCTTTCAAACTGGTTAGACTACATGCTACTACACGGAACCATTGTTTGCGCGTTAGATTTTTTTTATTTCAAATGGAATTTAAGATGAATAGATTTTAGAAATATTGTGTGGTCCAAGTCCTAGAACCCCGCCAAGTTGTTTCCCCGTTTAGTCAACATTACACCCCTTCACATCACTCACATCAGATTCGTCATCACTGCTGCTCTCATCGTCAGAATCTCCAGACGCCTCCTTCTCTGCATTGGGGTTTTCTTCCTGTGAACACAAAGACATTAGATCACACCGGGCCTCAATTAAGAGGCAACTACGCCTGCAACAAAGACTGATCACTCACCAACTCTTTCTGCGCTTTCATCTGTCTGTCGATCTCATCTGGGTTGCTGAACTGCTTCCCTCGGCCCTTGTGGCCCCTTTTCCCTGAAAAACAGACAGAACAGCTGTCAATAGAAAATCTGCTGTATCAAACTGTTTAAATCAGTCACTCAACAAGTCGACCACAACGTTTGCTGAATCCTGTTCAGTGCAGGGACACATTTACATTCGGTACACTCAACAGTTTTACAATAACATGGGTCTATATTTAGCCCCTGATGAATACTGCCTCGGTGACGCTTGTTATTGAAACTGAGAGGCCTATACTTGACACCATTGCTATTTCGCCGGTCCGTTTGGGGATGATGTAACGTTCATATTGGACGGTGTTGTGTGGCGCAGGTACAGCTGTTTCTATAGACACCCTCTGCACGTGGACACACCGGTGCCCGACCACCTCCGATACGAGTTAAAACCTGTGCTGGGTTTAATTACGATGTCATGCTATCGTAGTGTGGAAAGGCAGTGTGTAACGTTATGTGTGTGTGTGTGTGTGGTGGGAGACGAGTCACACATGACGTCCACAAAGAGCCAGCTACGTCCAACGGCAAATGTCACAGGCCAGTGAGTTAAGAGGAGCCAAATAGAAATCATTTTAACAAACTGTTAACAAAGGATTGAGAACGGATCTGATTAGGGGCACGACCGCAATCTGCAAGGACTTCAAATAAACGATAACGTTAATAGTATGTTTACGTTCTCCTGTGCACATGGTGACGCTGGCAATAACGCTAATGCTAAATAGAAATGGTCAAAAAAGCTGGCCGTTCAAAGCTTTAATGTTAGATCGTGAAATTACCGACGTGTGTTCATGTGCGAACATTAGCTACTCACTACGGGTACGTGTCGCGTCTTAGCTGAACCGTTTGAAGCCGCAATGACACTATGCTAACCAGTTAGCATGCTAAAAGCTAAGCATGCGAGAGTTCAACGGAGAATTGTACTACTTTAGCTAACAATTCGCTAGCTGGAATTAGCTTGCCAGAAATTAGCATGTTACATTCCGGTTGATAATACTTACCACCCCTAGGCATTATTAAAAGTCAAGTGTACACAATTGACGTCCTCTTCTATATCACGGAGTAATCTGACAGTTGTACAAGCCAACCCGGCAGTTTAAAGTGCTGAAAGTAAAGGCTGACACTACTTCGTCTCTCCCGCTGTCGGAAGCGCAACCGTCGAAACGCTGCATTAAGTTAGGGCCGCCTGCGCATGCTCAGATAGAACCCGTCAACCAATCGCTGCAAAGGGCACGTGATTGACATGCGCATCTACCAATCAGGCCAACCTAAAGCGAGCAAAACTAATCCATAACACGCCTTACATTTGATGAAAAATTATATATAATGTATAATAATATAATATATACTATTTAATAAATAAACTATATAATAACTAAACTATGCTGGTCTGTAAAAGTGCATACAGTTCACAATCAGTATCTCAGGGTTTTTGTCAAATGTCTGTTCCCTATGTCAGAAATAACATTTCTTATTACTAGGATTATGTATGAAGGCAACTTACTGCTCAAATATTTTGTGGAAGATTTATCCTGGCTTTCTTTTTCACTCATTATGACTCAATTAAGTATAATCGAATAACTTCATTTAAAGAAGAAAAAAAAGGATGACAGTGCGCCACACTTACTGTAATGGAATTTTAGTTCTAATAGAAAATACAATAAATACAAAAAATCTTAGAAAGAAAATGAAGAAAATTTGCCTGTATTTGCCATACAGATGTATAAATTATGCTGTGTCTTTCAGATACAGATTTAGAGTTACAAATGTAGAAAAGAACAAATATCTGACTATCTGCTTTTGCAATTAAATACAAGCAAGTCCTACATCTACGACAAAGAAATCCTCATTATGTAAAAAATATGGGCACATAATTTTGTGCGTAAAAGCAAAAACAAAGAAACAGCTCTTTTTTCCCTATAAGCAATCTTGACGTTCTCTCTAAGAATGAAAAACATTTCCTGTTATGAAGGCATCAGATTGGATTTGTCATTTCTTCCTTCGAATTTGTGTCTTTATATCTTCCGCTTCTTTCTCCATCAGGTGGTATTCCACAGTAGTCTCTGTCAGCTATAACGAAAATATAAAATATCAGTTACTTAAAAGATTCGGGAAGAAAGGAGATTACATTAATACCTGGTTATTCCATGGTCAAAGTGTATTGAGCAAAGCTTAGCTATAAAACAAAGAAGGGTTTCATGTTCTAAAACTGAGGCAAAGCATGGTTATGGAGGTTAAGGGTGATCATAGATTCCCATAACAAACACAGGTGTATCCAAAACAAACTTTCTTAGTACTTCCACAAACTTGCATGTAGAATAATTCATGTTTTGGGGAATGGTAGGGCAATTTTAAAATGGCTAATTTCTTACCATGTCCAAGAGAATTTCTATTTTAAGTTTCAGGAGGTTGTTCTCTTCCTCCAACTGTACATTTCTTTTCTTAAGCCGCTGAAATTCCTTACCGGACCCATTTCCCACCGATTCTGCAAGCGAGAATTAATGTTTTACTAAAGGGGTATGAAAGGTTTTTTAGACTTGAACAGGCATAGCACAGATATGCATGTTTCAATATTATCACGGGCATTACCTGATATCCACTGGCCCTCTTCAAATTTCCAACTCTGACCTCCAAGGTTCATGGCAGGTGGTCCATACTCAAGGCCCAGTTCTACTTCTCTAGTTGAACGATCCAACTAACACAAAAACACGGAAACAACAGATCAGTCTGGATGCCAGGACGAAACACAACATCGAGTTGCAGCCCATTGAGCACAACGGCGGTGATAAAACACGTTCTTTAAGCTCCTTTCTTGTGTTTATCCACTAATGAGGTATATCCAAGGGTCTTTAGCGCGAGTGAAACGCTACTAAACATCTGTCTAAACTCACCGTATGGAGGCTGGACAGAGATGCAGATTTGCGAGGGGGGATCTTCTTCGGACTGAATGTGTTTCCAAACAGCGGCATCTTTAGTGATTTCTTAAGGTCCTGTATAAGAGATGGTAACATTACATCAATGGTAGCATTAGCACATTCTCTTTATTAGCCAGTATCACGTAGCCACAGCTACTGTGTATCGTTGCTATCGCTACAGTACTGAGCTAACGCTCGCTAGCTACTCATAGCGTTACCTGACATTTAATTGAAACGGCCTCACAGGTGGGTCAGTAGTTGTTTTTCTCACTGAGAGTAGATGTATAGTATATTTACCTCCATACAGGTTATTTATTTAAATTCTTAACGTGGTGTTTGAAACAATTTTCTCTCCCAACAAAAACATACTTGCTACTGCGCATGTGAGAATGTTCCATTTGTCTAAAGTAGACACTGACATCTTGAAGAGCTTTAAAATAAAGTATTCTTTTTCAACACAATCAAGTTTAGGACATAGACACAACTATATTCTCCAATGCTTTATCTATGGCCTCATGTGCATATTTAAATGGTCAGAGTCGCATTAGGATAACGTCAATACCCCTATTTTGGCAAGATAATGGAACCATCCATACAACCTGATTCATAGACCTAACGTTACGTGAGAATGGTAACCGTTACGTGTAAGCGTTTTATTCCCGAATTGAGAATTTAATACAAAGTTAAATGTCAGAGGCTCAACTTGTCTAATGAGAGAGTTTTAACAAAACACACACCATCAAACCCCAATTGTTTCTTATTATATCCTGCAATAAAATGTTATTACTCTACCGAACACGAAACGTGCCCCAGTGGCCTAATGGATAAGGCACTGGCCTCCTAAGCCAGGGATTGTGGGTTCGAGTCCCATCTGGGGTGGTTATTTTTTCTGGGAAAAAGAAGTGAATGAAGTCTTTCAAAATAGGATCTCTGGGACCGACGTTCTCTCATGCAGTTGATGCGACCCGCGCAATATCCTTCCTACCTGGAACCAACGGTTTACCGATGAAGAAACATTCTTATTGAAATACACGGAGGGAACTGGCAAGAAAACAGCCGCCATGCAGAAGCAAAACATCAAACTGTGCGTATTGCTGAGCTGTTTGGCTGCATCAGTGCAAACGCACCGTGAGTAACGCTGCCTTGACTTGTCTGAACATGACGAAAACTATTTTTTTTTGTAAGATTTAGTTGTTGAAAAGAAAGGCGTTTTTGTTTTTATGTAAAAAACTGTCTATGACAGAAAGATATAGTTTGCAACAATATGTTTTATAAGCGATTGTTTCTTACTTCTATTTCGTTGTGCCCTATTATTTTATATTATATATTTTACATGAATACATATTGTGATCGTTTTAATAATTTTTAATTTTCAATAAAACAACTCATTTTGTGTTTACAAACCGCTAACGAACACAACAAATCAAAGTTTGTTTCAAATAGTTAAATAATATTCAACTTGCACCAAGTAACAATACAGATCATTGCAAACTCTTGAAGTATGAATAATATTCATTGGACAAAAAGCAACAAGGACTATGTCAGAAAATAGTGTTATTTATGCGCTGCCTTTTTCCTATATTTAAATATATTGCTGGGATGACTATCTTATATAATGCCTGTTATCCAACCTCAACCCTGTAACCTTGCCCATCCTCCTACAATGGTAGAGCTCAGAGAGGCCACTGTGCACTGGGATGCTGCCCAGAAAAGTGTGATCCTGAAGGAAGGGGTGATGGAGACCGAAGGGGGAGCCTACGGTTACTTCAATGACACTCTGCTCCTCTCTGGATGGGGCGTCTTGGAGATCTGCGCAGGTTGTGGAGGAACCGCACAAAGAGATGAGACCACCTTTTTCCTGGCCGGGTACCTGGAAGGTTATCTGACTGCTGGGTGAGAAAATGTGACGCAACAGACAAGTTTCGTTGTTTACAGACTTTGGAAATATTACTTTCAATATAGTTTTGCATTACCCTTGTTTTGAGAGTTCAGCTATAAAACTGTGTTTACTTAGTGATCTAGCAATAGATTAATTCCCACTTTTCTTATATTGTCTCCACAGACAGATGTTCAATCATTACTCCAACATGTACCCTCAACTCCTAAAGGATGAGAAGGTTTTGAATCCCCTCAAAACGTTTTTAAGGTACATTTTTCAAGAGGTTTTTCCCTTTGGCTATACAGAAAAAGTAATGCCTGTAACATTGTGTAAAAGAATGAGAGAATATAATTATTTTGAGTTCCCAGGAAGAACCCAACGGTGACCAAAAGCCTCTTTGTTGTTTAAACAAATGTACTTTTCTTATTTTGTATATACATGGGAATATTACCCCATTAATTGACTAAATGTTGTCAGTTTCACCAGTATTTATAAAAGTCTATATACTAAAATTAAAAAAACAGCAACAATTTGCAACAATTCTAATAAGTGTGTGGAATGATCCTCAGCAAACAGGACCAGTGGGCCCGAGAGCAGGTGAAACAGAGGAGACACAGCGCCCCCTGGTGGAACCACCTGGGACTGATCCTGGCCCAGCTGGACGGACTCCAGGCAGGAGCTGCTCGGTGGGCCAAAAGCAAACACAGAGAGGTGTGTGTGTGTGTCTGTGTAAGTGTGTTTGTGTGTTTTGTCGAGAATGTTGAGAGAGTTGTCATAGTATCATCTCATTCATCTCCGCCGCTTCCACCATTCCTCCCAGCCTCTATCAGCATTTGCACTCCAGTTTCTGAATGGCGTCGGCGACCTCCTGGACCTCATCCCGGCTCTGACGCCTCGCTCCAACTCCTCCACAGGGGCCGGCGCTTTCAGGATGCCAGGAATGGGCCACTGCACGGCTCTCATCAAGGTTAGGCCGAGCTCATTTGGCTCACGCTCTGAGGGAGCACTTGATGGGCCCCAATGCCTAATTAGTTTCATTGTGCTCAATTCCCTCTTTTGTAATGCATCAACAAGTGCACAAGGCCATCAAATGTAATTATTTACAAAGTGTAAATGGAATGAGGACATTAGGGGAACGTGCAAGCTGTCATTATTTAGTTTTAATCAATGAGATTTTATTCATTCTAATCTGATATAATTACAGGAACCATAATGCTAAAGGTTTTCAATTAGCGCTAAACACAAAGCTAATGATTGAATGGTCATTAGTAGTGCAGGAATGGAAAATTCCCAAATTCTTTGTGGTCAGGGCGCACAGCCACTCAGCAATTAATATGATTATAAAATGACAACAGTTGAAAAGGGTTCAGGGAAATAGCACGCATGCCGCGACTAGTTTTTTCAGACAGGACCTGCACGCGTTCGCTCTTCACCACAACCCAACGTTTCCCTCCTCTGCCTCCAAGGTGCTGCCAGGCTTTGAGAACCTGCTGTTTGGCCACTCCAGCTGGTTTACGTATGCAGCCACCATGCGTATCTATAAACACTGGGACCTCAGGGTGTCCGACACACACACGGCCACCGGGAAGATGTCGTTCAGCAGCTACCCTGGTACAAGCACGCAAATAACACACATGAGCTGTATTTACAGTCCAAACATATCATCAGTTCATTTGGAGGACGTGAGGTTTGTAGCCTGTTGAGGAAACTGTGTTTTCTAAGCATACAACCTGAATCATGAACAGTTTGCCAGCCCGCAGTGCAGCAAAGAACGTCTCTCTTGTGAACACCCTGTGCTGAGGTGAACGTGCTTGTCCTTAATCCTCAGGGTTTCATTTTCATCTGGAAAGATATAAACACCAACATCGAGGACTTAGCCCAAATCCCCAATGTGCATTGTTGACTGAAAGTAATTCTTCTGCTCAGCGCAGAGCTTAGTCCTCGACGAGGACGGTTATTTGTCATCTGGGTAGAGAATTGCACATCGGTGCGCGCCGTACACAACCATCCTGCTCCTTTGCTCCTGCGGGAGCTGGTGTGTGACCCCTTAAGCTGCTTTCCCTCTTATAATGTGACAGCAGGTCAGATACGAATACTTTAAGTGGACCTGAGCATGGCGACCATACCACTGTGATTTAAATCCTTGATATCAGCAGTAGGATTTCTGTATTCATTCACATGAAGTAGTAATAGTGGTAGTAGTAGTAATGCCATAGGAATATTACATAGCGAACCTGACTTAAAGTCTTTTAAAACTGCTGCCAGGCAACAATGACCAACCGTGCCGTAGGTTGTGGTTGAGGTTATGAACTGATCTCAGACATTTTCCCACCGCTTCCTCCTGCGCCTGCAGGCTTCCTGACCTCTCTGGACGACTTCTACCTGCTCGGGAGCGGCCTGCTGATGACTCAGACCTCCATCGGCGTCTTCAACGTCTCCCTGCTCTCCCGGCTCAGCCCTCACAGCCTGCTGGCCTGGCAGAGGGTCCGTCTGGCCAACGGCCTGGCGCGCAGCGGGGAGGAGTGGGCGCGCGTCTTCTCCGGATACAACTCAGGTGAAACCCCCGTCGGTGTGAGCCGAGGGGGGTTCTTTCACACGCCAGCGTAGGCAAAGATGTCCCACTTTTCGATCGCAAACCCCTGGAGTCCTCCCAAAAGTATCCGTAGAGGAGTCGAGAACGGGTCCGTGATCTAGACCTAGAGGAAAGGTCTGAAATAAGTGCCCACGCCTGGGAAGATGAGACTTGCGGAAAGGAAGGGGTGAATGACGGAGCAAGCCTGGAACAAACTCCCCGACTAAAAATCCCCTGGACAAATTCCCATAGAGACACACCAACAGACCATCAACACCGTTACGCAGCAATTGTGTTAATTGGGCAGCTGCTTGGATCTTTCACGTCACGTTGCTATGGGAGAGCCGTGGAAAACAGGACAGAGCGTTCTTGAGGCTGACAGTCCCCCTCGTTGCCCGTTAGGCCGCCGTAGTCGCCTGCAGGCAGGAAACACGCCAGCCTTTCCCAGCCTTTGGGTGTTATCTTTTGTTCATGTAGGTACGGATATATTGCTTGTGCACGTCAGTCACACTGGAGCCGCAAGTCTCCCCTGTTTTTTCCTCCGGTATCAAATCCCTGAGGCACATGCGAGACTGTACATGTTATTTTTCCTACGCCAGTCGTGTAGTGCAAGCGATGCAACCAAGCAGGGATAAGATGTTCCTTTATCCGTCTTCAGCCGCAATACTGCTCAAATCATGTACGTTGTATTTAAATCCATTCCTTAAAAAAGGTTACACTGGTTCGAAGTCAGGAGCCTACGTCGATACAGTACTTGCACTAGACAGTGTGACTATTTTTGAAAGTTGTGTTCAAGGATCCGTTGACCTCAGATCACTTTCAGGCTCTTGGAATGTCAAAGGCCCTTTGGAACAGAATTAAACCACTTAATAGACCAGTGTTACATTGTGTACAGTCATGGTCCCGGGAGGATGAACCCTGATGACCCTGATTCTCTGAACTCTCCTCTGGCACCACCAGCGGCATGAAATGTGTGCTTGTCCTGTGAAATATCCCACTGGATTGATTGTTGAAAGATGTGCAGACGTTCATGGAACCCAGAGGACAGAGACTTTTCATCTAGCAACAGTTTTCGGTCAAATTTGTGTAAATTCCTCTAATACTTGACATAACCAGTCAAGTCAGCAAGTCTTATTGGATAAAAAAATGATACCTTATTTCCTATTTTATATTTATTTTCCAACAACAGAGCTTCTGTTTGACATCTTTCCTTAACTTCTCAGCTCTCAGAGTTTTCTTTAAAGTTGCAGCTGGGATAGTTTTGAAGATGAGGCACATCCAAGGAGACTTTAACAAATGTTAATCATACATGAAACAAATTGTTTACTGGGATAATTTGCCTGTTTTTAGAAACTCACGTTGATTTTAATGCAACCCCTGTCTGCTATTAGAGAGCAACTGCCTTTACAGACCGTAACAACCGCTGTGGGTTGTTCTGTGTCGGCGAGGCAGCAAATAGAGCGTATCCCCCTCTGTATTTTAGGTACATACAACAGCCAGTACATGCTGGTGGACCTGAACAGGGTTTCTCTGGGTCACAGTATCAGGGACGGAGCTCTGACTGTGGTAGAGCAGATACCTGGCAAAGTGGCGCACTCCGATCAGACTCAAGCTTTACGCAGAGGTAAGAAACAAACACCCATTCGTACAGTTTTATTTGTGTTCTTTATTTTCATCCGCGAGGGCTTCTTCAGGTGGAAATCCTTCTGGGCGACCCACACCTTCAGTGTGTTACTTTTGGCAGGATATTGGGCCTCCTACAACGTACCATTTCATGCTGAAATCTACAACCTGAGCGGGTACAGCGTGATGTGGAAGAGATACGGAGAGGACTTCTCGTACGACCTCTGTCCCAGAGCCAAAATCCTTCGCAGGGACCAGGCCAAGGTGTCAGACCTAAACTCCCTCAAACACATCATGAGATACAACAGTACGTGTAACGACAAGTAGTGACTGTCTTCATTCAGAAGCATGCACACACAAGTCGTATTTTCAGACTGTAAGTCGCGTGCCTAAAAGTCAGACTGCTTCTGTTGCAGACTTCAAGAGAGAGCCTTACTCCAAGGGGCATCCTTGTAAAACCATCTGTTGCCGTAACGACCTGAGACCAAGAAGACCACGGCCAGGGGGTTGCTATGACACCAAGGTCAGAGGTCATCGGCGCATGAAGTTTGAGATGTGACCTGGGAGAAAAGTGCTATGACAAAATATCAGAGGTTAATTTCTGTGTTTTGTGTAGGAATAATAAGGTCATCTCAATTTTACAATATTGCATATTGGTGGTCAGCTCTGTCACAACACTGTGTTAACATGTTTGTAAAACCTGAAAAGATATTTTCTTTTCTTTACTTGTTTTGTAATTTGATCATTCGTTCCCGATGGCAAAGCTATTGAGTCTCATTTTTAATATAATAATAATGAAAAACTCCATTACAAAACATTCTTTATGGATGTCTATTTGATATTCAAACCTTGTTAAATAGCCTCACTTTCCACAGACTTATTTATTTTTCTGCCCTTTTCCTCCCCCGTATCTCTCCCACGCTGCAGGTGACGGACTACCAGATGGCGGTCCGGTTGGTTGCGCAGGCCATAAACGGCCCCACAACACAGGGGGGCCTGCGTCCTTTCTCATGGCAATCGTTCAACCTTACGACCCATCTGGGTCTTCCGCACACCTACAGCTTTCCCTTCGTCACCATGAGGCCCACGCTGCATCGACTCTGAGAGCGCAGAGACAGCAGATATACAACCAATCTATGCAGGATCGGCTTTGTTTCTTGTTCCTGGAGAAAAAAAAGCTTGTCACCTAACTGTAATAATGTAAAAGCAGGCAAAATTAATTAAATTCTGAGACAATGCATTTTCAAAACAAAATAAGATTAAAACACGGGACAATCTGTTGCTTAATTGCCTTTATGAATTTGACTGGAATGTTAGAGGTATTTTTATGAAGCTGATTGATGCCAACCTGAGGTTTGATCAAATCATTCACTAATTAATTCATACCATTTAATCCTAAAACTCATTTTAAAAAGAACATGCTTGTTTCATCTAAACCCGGCCAGAAGTATTAGAAAGATGGTGTTTGAATTACTGCTGCTCTCATTACTCAGTAGTCATTAGGGAGTGATGTGTTAGCAATAATACTCTCAACTCTGAATGTATTAGCAATGTTTTGTGTGTAAGTTTGTTCCTTAGAGTTTAATATTTTGGCCACCTGGGGAATGCTTTTGTTTTAGTTAATACTAGTGTATTGTATGTATTTTTGAGGATTTTGTTTTAAAATCTATGCAATGTTTCCTCAAGTTTAGACCGTGTATAATAAAATGTTCTTATTTAATATTATTGATAACACGATATACATATATTGGAAATGATTCAAGAATACAATAAGTATTACAATAAGTAATACAAAAAAACACAATCAGCTTCTCCTCCATGACTTCGCAAATATATAAATAATGTGTTACTTTGGATGAAGAAGCTGACCACTCAGTCCGGGACACATCCACTGCCTACTTTAACATCTAAAAGGTCTTAGATTACTTGGATTTTCTTATGACACCCTTACGTTCCATTATTTTGAAAGTACTTTTCGGATGTACTACTCCTCACTTCCGGCGTCGTCACTGATCTTTGAGGCGTCGCGGTATTGTGGGCGGAGCCTCCTCGGCCGGACTCGGGGAGAAAGAGCCGAGGCAGCAGCGGTCACGGACGGACGCCTCCTCCTCCTCGTCTCCATCTCGTGCCTCGCGGCGGGTTTTTTTTTTCTCCTCCCAAATGGCAACCCCCCCGGGCCTCCACCTCAACAGCAACAACAACAATAACAACAACAACAACAAAGACAGCGAGGCGGGAGAGAGCGCGACGTCCGCCACGGCCAGCGCGAGCGAGCCCGGCGGGAAGGCGTCGCAGAGCCTCGGGAACGGCTCGGTCATCAACCCGCGCGCGGGGAGCAACGGGAAGTGGGTCCGGCTGAACGTCGGGGGCACGGTGTTCCTCACCACGCGGCAGACCCTCCTCAAGGAGCAGACCTCCTTCCTGTACCGGCTGTGCCAACAGCAGGACCTGCACTCGGACACGGTGAGTCCCCCGCACCCCCCCCCCTCCTCTCTTTGTCTGTATTCAGTGTTTAGTGCTGACTGAGATGTGACGGGTGTGTTTGTGTAAACAAATACGTTGGCGTGTTGTTCAGCTCCATTATAGCCGGGCATGTTGACAGATTAACGTTTTTATTCAAAAACACTTTCGTACAAAATATCTCGCTATGATTTATTTTGCTCTTGCCTGACTAAAGGCTATTTATCCATTAGAGACTGTGTGGTAATATGATCATTACTGACTCGTGTTGTGTTTTAAATCTCTAAAGGTTTCAGAGTAGCCATAGAGGGACTAACTATTACTGTGTCATCTGTGCACCATTACCAACACATCTCTATGTGCACTCCGCAGATGCAGACATAGAGATGTCTAATAAGCAGCTGATGTAGATTTACAGCTCGTGTGTGTGTGTGTGTGTGTGTGTGTGTGTGTGTGTGTGTGTGTGTGTGTGTGTGTGTGTGTGTGTGTGTGTGTGTCAGCATCATTTTTGGCTGTGAATGTAGCTTCAGTCAGATGGAAGAACACGTGCCTCCTCTTCTGCAGGAGTAGCCGTGCAGCTGGCATCTAATGGGGAGGTGGTGTGTGTGTGGGGGGGGTATTATGTGTCTTCCAGTCACATGTTAACTGAATGCACTGAAAGTAAAGGCTCATGAATGATGCATGTTTCTGTTATGCTGCGGCCTTTGATCTGAGTGTGTGAGGGGAGTGGGGCTGCAGCCCTGGTGTCTGCTGTAAGTGGACGTTCGCTGCTGGCTGAAAAGCGCTTATCTTGAAGATGTCAGCGCTCGGCGACTGCAAACGAAAGCGAGCCTCCCGGACGGGATAAAATGGACGGATCGGTGCTGAATGTCTTTGCTGGGTAGCAAAGCCGAGCGATCACAGTCGGGATGAGAATTAGCCAGTTTTGACAAGCGAGTTTCCTTCTCTCTCTCGTTCACGCACTTACTGCCGTCACCGTAGAAACGGGAGCTGAGCTGTGGGCCAACGGGATCCCGGAGGAGCATCCAACCATGGAGTGGTTTTCTTCTTCTTTTTTCTCACCCGCTGCTGTAGCCGGTCACCGGACATTTCTACCTAACATCTGTATAGCAGCACCGTAATCTCTAGATTAAGTCGTATATAGGGAGAAACCTTTCGAGATAACGCGGCTGACTGTAGAGATCACACCTCTGCAGAGGTCTGCGCACACGTAGAATAATTGTTAGTAGAAGAAGTGCAACAGGACGGCCAGTTGACTACAACCTCTTAATCCTATTACTGCGGATTTGTGATCATCAATGGCTTCCCTCACATGAAATGGGGGGGGTGGGGTGGGGTGGCGCGGCGCGGTCAGGCCCGAGTTCAGATGTCATGATGCCGTAACGCAGCGATATCTGTAAAAATGTTCTGGGGATTTTTTTTTCTTCATGAAATTCCGCGACACGTCGGGACTCGCTTCATCGCAGGGACCATGAAACCTGCGCCTGAGCCGAGCATCTCATTTCAACAAGAAGCAGAGTTGTTTGAACTTGTTGCTTCTCTACTTCCAGAATTACACAATCAATTACACAATAATTCCGGGCCGCACAAAAAAACTGTTAACTTTGTTAGAATCGGGGGTGGAAAACTTCACACAGACTTTGATTCTTTTCTTTCTTTTCTATTTCTTGAGAGGCGTCTGTGGTGACGATCTGAGGACGATAAACTGGGCTGATCCCAAATTAGAAATCGTACAGTCTGAAAAACAGAATCACGGCCAAATGTGTTTCACCACATTTCATTTCAGCATCTAGATCACAGCGCATGCGTGTGTTAAAGTAACAAAGGGAATATGTTCACACAGCCGCTGTAGTTGGCAATAAAAGACAAGCGGCATGAGAGAGCAAAGTTCTGCTTAACAGGTGAATCTATCTGATGAGGAAGTTACTGCCCCCCATTTGAAGTTATTTTGTTTTGAATCTGTAGTATCTAAAGAAACTCTGAATTCCTTTGGTTGCCAGAACTTGTCAGTAAGTGTAAGACAAGGAAGTGATCAATTAGCATGGATTTGATTTGATTGATGGGAGGTGTGCCAAGTTGAATCAACAAGGAGGTTTAACCTCTGGCCTACTTTGTCTCACAGCGATCAATCATCAATCAGTAACAAAGCACACACGTAACCGACAACCGATTACTTTTAACGCCGGGAAGCGTCAGTCGGAGTGGACAGTCTGCCCGTCCCTCTCTCTGCGGAGACACCCAACCATAGGTTAACGCCAGCCGGCGGATTCTTTCACTTCCTCTTCATTTCACAACGAATCCCCTCCAGCAAGGGCCCTTTTTTTTTAAAGTCGACTCTTAAAAGGAAGATGTGCTTCAAGCGATCATCAGAGCAGAGGGAGTGTGTGTGTGTGTGTGTGTGTGTGTGTGTGTGTGTGTGTGTGTGTGTGTGTGTGTGTGTGTGTGTGTGTGTGTGTGTGTGTGTGTGTGTGTGTGTGTGTGTGTGTGTGTGTGTGTGTGTTGGTGACATAACAGCCGGGCCGGCGTTGGCAAAGTAGCCTGGGAGTGAGAGAGAAAGCAGACTGTCTTTCAGTCAGCGCTGACGGATCGTGTCGGGATGCAAAGCGTCATCCACTGTATACAAGGGGGGGAGGGGGGGGTTATTTGGGAATAATAATACCAAACAATGATGATGAACAAAGCTAAGAAGTATGTTGTTCTCCAGCGCGTGAACTTTTGGGTCTAAAAATACTGCAACATCTTCGGAAAGAGGTCCATTAATGGTGAGGTCCAAAAATAACAGGAGCCACATCTTCTGTTTAGACATTACGCAGATACGCCGCCTTGAGTACTATAATGAGTGAAAAAACACCCACGGCCTATAATAGCTTGACATTGCACTGCTTCCAGCCCACAGTCGCACACCACCGTCGGTTTAAGGAAAAGTCTATCTGCAGCTCACGGTTTCATCGTGTGCTCCCTCTGTCCTTCTGCCACAGGATGACTCCGGAGCCTATGTGATCGACAGAGACCCCACCTACTTCGGCCCCATCCTCAACTACTTGCGGCATGGCAAGCTGGTCTACAACAAGGAGCTGGCAGAAGAAGGTCTTTAATGTGTTTTGACTCCGGGCCCTGCATTGCCTCACAGGATGTAGTTTCTTTAATTTAATTATTTTAGGTACTAGTTTTGGGAAATATGTGTGCTTGTACCAGGGTGCAGCCATAACTATAAGATACAAATAATCCTAACCATTCAAATAAATGCAAAACCCATTAATGTTGCACGGCAACGACCAACTGCAAGCTTTCCGGGAATCAGTGGATGAAACAGCTAAACGGGAGTTTGTTAAAGTAGTAGATAGGTGAGTGTGCTGGTAAAAAAAAGGGTTCAACTGGTATAAGATTGTTTTTTAAATAAAACGTACACACAAAGTGGTGGTGTCCACAAAGGGGCTGAGCCATGTTTAGCTTTGTTTGTTTTTGCCTCCAGGTGTTCTGGAGGAGGCAGAGTTTTACAACATCACCCCACTGATCAAACTGATCAAGGAGAGGATCGTGGAGCGGGACTCCAAAGCCACGCAGGTAAACACAGGACTCCTCCGAGGGGTTTTCTGCTCTGATAGCCGAGCAGATGGCCGCCGTGTTTTGAAATGACACTGAAAGCAGCAGCAGCGGTGTGTGTGTGTGTGTGTCTAATGTTGCACATGCTGCTTAGCGCAACAGTTGTGTTGGTATTCCGGAGTCTATACTGTAACACACACACACACACACACACACACTCCATTGTGGTGGTGATGTAAGAGAATGTCAGTCACGCAGTCTTTGTTCTGTACATCAGGCTTCTTTGATCTTCTCAGGATGGTTGCGCTCTCTCTTACATAATCTCACCGCCCCGTCAAACACACACCCACCTTCTCTTCTACCACACTCGCAGCTCGCGTTTGAACACCGTCGCTGGACAGCGACG